TTCCCCCCTGACTATCAAATAGGCCCTATTCGTATTCTCGGTATTGGACTGGAACTAGCTTTAAGAGAGATTAATGTCATTTGCATCTGAAAAGACTCCCCGCATTGCAAGTTAGTTCCGGTTCAAAACCAGTACCGAGAATACGAATATGAGCTGTTGGACTTGGCTAACGGCCCCATCAAATTATTTCAAATTAAATAGCATACTTGCACGTGGCGCTATTAGATCTACTAATTTAGATTTTAATTCCAGGTTGAGGTGGTAAACAAACTCAGTAATTGCGGTGTGATGATGGATCGAATGGTCGTTCTGTCTCCTTACCGAGCTCAATGTCATATAATTCGGAAAGAACTCGCAAATGATGTCCCCGTTATTTCCATTGTCAGAAGCCAAGGTAGGTCTTGATATTTAATTTTTAGTAGGAAAATCTATACTATATATGCCAATCACAAGGAAACGTTTATCGGGTTTTTGAACCTAACAAAAATTAATAACATACCTGAGCAACGCCACTGTTTTTCTGTGGAAAGCTGTACATTTCTGTTACCTTGGTGAGAGTATTGTTGGGGATTAAACACCGATGCTAACGTGCTTAAGCATTGGATCCTGACTTGGGTGACGTATTTTAATTACGGGAATGCTGCAATGACGCAGTATTGTTNAACAACTCGGCGATGCCCTTCTGGTTATGGAGTCAGACTCGAAATTCCTTGCACATATTTTCACTGGAAACTGGTGACCATCTGAATCATTTTCCCCGTAGGCAGTGAATTCGATTTTGTGATCATATCCTTGGTCCGGTCGTTACCAGACTCCCAGATAAACCACGAGCCTGACGGTGGATGGCTAGGAGAGAACCTGGGATTTGTAACCGATGAGCATCAAATCAATGTTGCTCTGACCAGAGCGAAACGAGGACTTGTTATCATCGGTAAGATAAGTTCGAACCTGTAAGTGTTTGTTTGTAATATAGATCGGCGATATCCTTATAATGTATTCTCTACACTCCAGCTTATTCTCTACACTAAGTGAAAAACCCCGTCTTTCTTGTGAATCCCATAATGATTATAATTTTTTTGTTGTTTTCTCTATTACAGGTAACAAGAATTTGCTTAAGGTTTGTGAAATGTGGAGTTACCTTATCGATCATTACAAAAAGAAAGCATGTTTTGTAGAGGGTGCAGACTGGCCTTGGATTTAACTACCTATTACACGACCTAATAGCAATCTCGAGTTCACAATCTAATTGTTAATAATTAGACAGCACACTTTGATATTATTGAAATTGGCTCTGTATGTAACCTGCAGAGCAGTTGCTTTTGGCGTGGCCAGAGAACAAACCTGAGCGAGGATTAAATCATTTCTTAGAAGCCCACGCTGCTAACTCGATCAACGTCCTACTCAGTCCTTTACAGCTAGCTCGCATGACTTGCTGGGATTAGGACACGATTCTAATAGAGTGTTTTCGATATATTAAAATTCAGCTTGGTAGTGAGGCCTGAAGGACACAGACAAAGGGAATTGAATGACATGTTTATTCATTTCTTTGTTTATGTCCAATAGGCCTTACTATCTGACTTCTAATATGTCGAAAGGGACCTATTGAGTGCACGGTTATAAATGTTACTGTTCACTCAAGAGGGGTGGCGAATGGTCCTTCAAAAGCTCTGGGTCTCGTAAAATTTTAGTCGAATTTCACGGGTTTCGCAGTCTCGTCTTTTAGCGGTTATGTGCGTCTCGCAGTCTCGATTTTTCGCAAGGTTAAGGGTCTGGAAGTCCCAATTTGTTCCTTTATCTGTTTTTATAAATGACGTCTTCTCTTTACTTGATATGGAATTTCAATGAAGCAACTTAAAAATTTTCCGAGAAAAAGTTAATCCTAACTTCTCCTTATTGTCTTAATTCCATAAAAAGGTACAAAACCTACCGCAACGTCCGTTTTGGCGCCAGAAAAACAGTTATTTTTCTCTAGGATATCATAACGTAGTGTGTTATAATCGTATTTCCAGTTCCAGTCAGTTCCAAGAAGCTGGCTTGAGG